ATGTCAGGAGAAACACCTTTTGTAATTTTGGTTTGGTATTTTACTTCTCCCAAAAGAGCACAGAGCAGAAAGAGGAACATGTTATGAGTCCCAGAGATTATCTGTGAACTGTGTTTAAGTCGTATTCATGAACAAATAATATCCATGAGTGGGTTAACGAAGACGTTATTACAGTGCATGAGTTCTTAAATGATTTAGTTCTCATTTCCATATGCATAACACCTAGGAGTAAAAGTTCTGAAACTAATGAAGTTGTACTGTTGATATCGCTGCAAGTGAAATCAGAAGATTAATTACTGACCTTGTAGAAGCAGCACTACCAAAGATGACTCAGAAAGGCAATAAGGAGCTGCAGAGAAGACCGAAAATGAAATGATTGTGTAGCCCAAGTCTTAGCTATTGATGATAAATCAGTGCCTTGGAATGTGAATTGCTATGTTCCTCAAGAAGCAACTGAGTCTCTCAGAAAAATATATTTTATTCCTGATCTTTCAAGAGCTGCTCTCAATGCTACATCTAAATCACTCTTTTTCTAGCTATTCTTCATTCAAAATAAAAACAGGATGGAAAAAAAATGTATTTGCTGCTTTTTCAGAGTGTAGCAAAATCTGTTAGTTCCTTTTCACTTTTACTGCTTCTAATGTTTCACAGCAAAGGCAAACCTTCAAACTCCAATTCCAATGTACTTACATCTGTTTTGCTCTTTTAAATATGTTTTTTTTCATTACATACCATTCATTAATGAAAGAATGCTTATTTACTTGGACAGGAAAGATTTAAAGGAATGGACAAGACTACAAAGTAAATAAATTAATGCTTTTTTCCTAGACACAGTTTTTCTTACACATAGGCAGCAGAACACGCTGATGAAAATCAATATATCAAATAAATACTCTGATTTTCCATCTTATTACAAATCTAGCCTCAAGACTTGCATAAAGGTTGCGCAACTGAGAGACTCAGTACAGTTCATTTTAACAGAAGTACTGCCCTCTTTCCTCCAGCTATGCTGCCCACAAAGGGAGATTGAACAGAACACCAGGAGAAAATGGTGCCACTGGGACACAGGTTGATGATTTTCACTGCAATTCATATCTTGGAAAGCTGTGTAGTGAAACGGTGGTAGGAACAGTTACACTTGAAGCTAATCAAGTGAATTCAGTAGTTTTCTTCTTTGCTTACTTTACAAATGTTTCTTAATGCACAAGAAGCAACCCCTTATTAACGAATTCTATGGGACACAGAACAGAGGGGAAAGTAATTGAAAACCGGTAATATCTCAAAAAAGTAAAGCAGAACAGGCCTATTAAAAAGGACTTTTTTTTTTTTTCCAGAGTCACAGGTTTAAATAGCCAAAAAGCAACCCCAACACTGAAGCTGTCTTTTATACTCTGCAGTCAAACCTGAGAAGTGTCACTGGAGGCTTTTTAGTGAAACATCACAATGTGCTGGGAAAAGACAAGCAGGTTTTTGTGGCAAATTCGTACTTAGCCTGTTTCACTTCTTTTCCCTATGCCCTAACTGAGATTAATGGTTTACTGGCACTTGTTATTCAGGATTTATACCAAAGAAATTCAAGGTGCCTTGGGTTTATAGACCTTGACATCACTTTCTGTTCATAGTTATTGATATAATCAAGAAATGAAACAATACTGGAAAGACCAAGGTTACGGACAAGAACTGCAGCCATAAACTGCAAGGTATGGCCTTGAACACTGTGTGTGCCTGTCTCTGAAAGAGAAAAGGACATTGGGAATAAACTCCCTCCTTTTCGGCTTTCTCTTTTTATTTTTTTCCTTCATTTCTGCCAATACATAGTCATTCTTAGATGATGAAATGAGAACAGATTGGGGCTTTTTGATTCCTCTCATAACTTGTGCATTTAACTTCAAATTTAACTCTAATTGCCCTGTGTTTCAAACAATGTTAAGCTACACAGACTTGCAACATCTCACTTATCTTCTCCTAAGGAAATACGTCAGAGTGCATTGTACTACATGAATATTCAAAAGAATGACAACTTAACTTTGACTTTTTTTAAATGTCCTTTTTTACTGGAAAAATTCACACTTTTTTGTTCCAAGAAAAAGCATTTTACACATTAAACCCCATCTTACGTCTCCCCTTAAACATACATTTATCAGTATATTACCATTCACAACAGTGGAATGCAGACTTATACATCCTTACCTGAGAGAAAAATGATACAGTAAATTTTAGATGTTTTTTGATATTTATGAAAAACTGCTGCAAATCTGAATGATTAAGAAGTAATGTGCTTCACCATCTGTCATTCAAGTGACTTGTTACTTCACAAATTAAATCAAACACTAATGGCCATCTAAAATCATCTTTTGCTTGTCGTCTAGTGTAACTATTTGCTTCAGAAATTTCTGCTTTCAGGATGATGATGACTTAATATTTAATCATGGATTTCCAGACAGAAATAGCAACAAGAAAATCTTACGCTAATCTCACTGTTTTTAAAGATGAGTGTTTTGTTTTAAACAAAACAGTAATCTTGCAGGAAAAGATGTGATCTTCTGCAGGTGATTTAGTATTTTGCATTTCAGAACCTAAAAAAAGTTAAAATATTTAAAACCAAAATCAAATTACCTAAAATTGTGAGCAAAAAATATGGATTTTCCTTGTAGTGTAAAAAGCTATTTTTGGATTTCTGGTTCCTTGAAGAAAACATGAAATACTACATTTACTGGTAATTTAACACAAAACTTCATTCATTTGGGGTTAATTTTTGCAGCAGTTGAAATCAAAATGTAATTTTTTGTGCACATTGCGAAGGTTATTAGCTTTAGGAGTCCTTTAAGTTACTCTTGAAGTACTGCTTGCCTTGTCCTTCAATATAACATGGAAAACTAGCCAATAAGAATTTGGACGTTAGAAAAAAGACAACCAACCTTCTTTTGGAAAATGTTGTTAACACAACTGAGTATGCCAAACTGGCAACCTACACACTTACTGTGATTTCTAACCTCTCTGTGACACGAGTGACACAGTGTTCAACAGGATTAAGATACATTATTTGCTGGGAAGCTCTACTGTTTTGTTTCTCAGCACTGCACAGACAAAATATTCAGCGTAAATACAGATTTCCCTGTCTACACTTTGAAAATTTGGAGACAAAAATCCTTTCATTTAGTACCTATGATATTCCAATTATGAATAATTCTAGGAATAATTTTACATGGACAGCTGGTACTGTTAGATTTGCTAATTAAATAACAAAGTAAGTCCTTAGGTTCTGAAGTGTTCTGGAATTACTGAAGTCCCGAACAATGTTGAGGTAATACTTATCATTCCTGGCATATCTGTAAAAACAGCAACCAGCAAAGGGCACCTATAAATCGATGGACGCAGAAGTATTGTAGTAAAACTATGGAGTTAAGTCTTCTACCTGTAAAATGTGTGCAAGGCACAAGTGTAAATCCACAGCAGAAGAATAATGGAAGTTATGTCCAAACCAGTGAAAAAGAGATGTCACTTAATGATAGACTGTGATTTGACAACATATTTTTATGGTTTCATTTTAATACATGGTTTAGTCCAGAAATGTCTGTTCATATACAGTCACAGCCTCTTCCCTGACCCCAAAAAATTGTTTATACAGTCCCATAAACTTCTATTTATGCCTACATATAGACACACAGATGTACACTTACCAAAGGTGAAAGCGACACTATGTTTCAGTGTGTTGTCTTCTTTTATAATAATACCAATCTTCCTTCTGCAGTGATTTCCAACTAACTGATGAAAAGTGCTTTAGAAGAACCGAATATTAATAATATTGTATGTGGGGTCAGATGTCCCTTTTGTACATGGTAGCGATGATCAATAGATATATTAGCAATAATAAGTATTCCTGTAAGCAAAATCTTGTACAGTACAGTCCCAGCCAGCAGGAAAGATGTTAACTGGGACCAGATATTAAATGAAAAATTGCTTTATTTTTCTTATAGGAAGGTGAAATATGAGTTAAGGAGGGCACCATAACATTTATATGTAAAATGATGTAATTATGTCCGTTGAAATGTTATAAAAATATTAACCAAAGATATGTAAGTATGGGAAATTTTAGCTCTTTGGTTTTTTCCCTCTGGTAAAACTAGAAACAGTAGGAAACAGCATTTTTTACAGAGAAAATAAAGAGACTGTTCATAGAGATCCCTGTTATTCCTCAGTATTCACAATAAAAATGAACAAGAGACCTCCCAGCACAGATCCAGCATGTCTGGTTTCATTTTAGCCACAAAAAGAAAACCTGTGGTGTAAATGTGTGACATATTGTGCTGAAAATGGTAGCTGGGCTAGTACTTGACACAGCTGAAGAGGGAAAGACAGGAGTGAAAATTTTACATGACTTGCAAGTTTTCTTCAAGTGTTTCCTGCAAAAAGCAGAGCTTGTCTTCATTTGTGCTTAATGGAAACTATGGTAGCTAACAGATGTTATGATGACTGCAGAAAACAACAAATTAGGATCACCAGCCAAGGGAATTGTTAGCTTCTGAAATTAGACAGGATACTGCAATTGCTCATTTCCTACAACCTAGTGTTACTCAAATCATATCTAATAATTGGGGACAAGAAATATACTTGCTGACCACAATAGCAAAAGACATCAGGGTCAATAAAGGCTGAAACAAGGTGTCCAAATAAAACACCCTGTAAACTTGTTCCATGATGAGATGTACAGAAAGAAAGTGATATTTTAGATAGCCAAATATAGGTAGTAAATATATTACTTGTAAGAATCAATACAAATAAAATTAGAGAAGATGTTCACGTTATTTTTCTTAGGAAAAAGAGAATCTCCAGCCGAGAAAAAAATAATTAAGAGAGTCAGATTAAGAGGGAAATCATATAAAAACGTATTCATCTTTTCTTTGACTAACTCTAATAATCAATTGCAAGAACATTTTTAATGGATGTTGAAATGCTAATCCAAATAAAAAAGGCTAAATATCATTACTTCTTTCTTTCAGGTGGTAAAAATGATGATTGTGGTTGTGCTGACATTTGCCATCTGCTGGCTGCCCTACCACATTTACTTCATAGTCACTGGTATCTATCAACAATTAAATAGGTGGAAATACATTCAGCAAATCTATTTAGCCAGCTTTTGGCTTGCCATGAGCTCTACAATGTACAATCCCATTATCTACTGCTGTCTTAATAAGAGGTAAGAGCTAATTATGAAATGATGTGCATAACTTCAATGAGAATATAAATGGTTTAAATGGGATAAAAGATGAAGAATATTCACTTGAATAGTTTTCGGTAAGTTGGAAAGAAAACAAAATGCAAAAAAACTTTCTCTAGATTTCTACTTGAAATGAATACCAAAAAAACCCAAAGGTGTGCTTCCAGTATTTCAGAGCAAAATTCAGTTTTCTGAACCCACCCCTTCCTATTTCCATATGCAAAATTCAAAAATCTATAGCATTTTAATATATTTTGGCTTGCACAACATTAAAATAACAAAGTAAAGACAGTCAGTAGTGATATAAAGTGCAATCTGTATGTTCACTAACTAATCGTAGCTCCAATTTTGTTTTGCAATGCTGGAAGGATATAATATAGAATGTGATTTACTGTGTTTTGTACACCTCAACATTAGATTTCGACCGTGCTCTGAGATGTGCAACAGGCTAATAAAACAAATATTTACATTCTCATTACTCAACACCTAAATTACAGTACTGTTTGACAGCAATGCATTATGCTCAGAATTTCAAAGGCACTGCACCTGTTGAGTTTGATGAGATTTCACAGATATTTGCTAGTACGAAACTACTGCATTGCAGAATGAACTCCTGTTTTTCATTTCAGTTTGTTGGAACAGGATCTAAACAAGTATCATCCTGGCTGTCCTGTTCTTCAGTATTTCTTCCAGTATTACTTGACAAACATCACCAAGAACAACAAGTCATTTCACAAATTCAGTTAATATGAATCATTATTCATATTAATAAGTAATCTTAAATATTATTTTAAATCTCTTTTGAATTAGCAGCCAGTGTCAAGTTTAATTACTGACAAGCTTCATACCAATTTTGCAAACTATTTCTAAAAACCCCTAAAGATCATGCAATACTTGACGAAAGGAGTGTAACTTAAAATGAAGCAAACAAATCCTGACAAGATGTTATGGGTGTAAAAACACTGCAGTCTTCCTCCCAGATAACCTATGATAATTAACGTTCATGATCTTTTAAAAAGGTAAGGTAATGCCTGATTTCATACAGCCTTCTGCCCCTTTTGATAACTTATAGCTGTTTAAAGAAGAGGTAAAGTTTTAGCATGCCAGAAAAAACCCTTACTCAAATGGCATATTTCCCGGTAATTTCAACAGAAAGCAAATTTCAGTCTCCAGTGTGTGCAAAATCAAAGGCAAAGTAGGATGAGACCTCATATTTTCCCAATTACTATGATAAAACTTCTAAAACAATTCTATTTTCTTCAAAAACTTTTTATGACACTGTTACAAAATAAGCCATTAATAAAAAATTAGTATCTCTGATGTGACTTACACTGACATTCATACACTGCAAAATTAAATATCTGGATTAAAGAATACAACCAAAGAAAAACCAATAATTTTGAGAAACACTAAAGGTCGCCCTGTTCAGAATTTAATGCAAGAATGAAATACTGTTGACAGTTTTCTTATAATTAAGTTCCATATTGAAATCAAGAAGCCGGAACATCTGCTTCCTTTTCATTTAGTAGAAAAATAGAGCTTGTTGCCAGGAGTCAGATCAATTCATGTAGCATTGTTACCTCTGCTGGACCTAGTATCAGACAGAGTTATAACACCTACCACCAGTCTCATCTTCTGGGCTAATTAGGATATTACTTACATATCTAGATAAAGAGACATTTTTTTCAAGATGAGGAAAAAACATGCCCTGAATTCGAAAGAGGATGGAAGGAGCCAAGAAAAGTAATACAGTTTAAACATGTTTAGGTTTTACAGTTCCCTTCACTAAATCTATTGCCATCAGAGGTTCTTTCAATATCTTTCCATAATGTGAACTGCATGTAAACAGAGCAATGCTGAAGAGCAAGCTACATGTTTGTCTGTCATCATGCAAGAACCCCATGGCAAACTGAAAAAATTGAGGAGGAAAGAAAGTTACTCCTGTAAGATCAATCAATATTCACTGAAAATTTAATCTGAATTTTTATTTGCAGTCATCACTGTGGTATTTGAACCATTGCTCCAAAAAGCTTACAGACAGGATAAACACTGAGAAGAGAAGCAAGACAAGGGAGAAAGTCTGATAAGCTTTAGGTCTAGGTGAAAAGATGTTCTTTTTCCACTTACACATAAATATACAGGGAATTGGTTTTCTAATATATTAAACTTCTACAAACAAAAAGTAATGATAGTCTTTAAGTAAACCTCTGCCTCTGCATTGAAATAAAATAACACTGTACGAATATTGCAAGCACTAATGCACTAAAGCCTCAAAATTCCCATTTGTACATTGTTCACAATCAAATTTCAACTTTCTAGGATCCTCTTTAATTATTAAAAATTATTTTCTAAATATTTTAAATGAACAGTTATTAGTCATTACATCATTCCCATATAAGCATCTCTGCTAAGAGGAAAGCAGAGAAGGGATGTTGGAATCTGGAAACTGGGATGGTATTTTAGAGAAAAGAATATTATGAAGTTTCTTGATGAAAGAAGATGAAAATGTAGGTGCAGATTTCGTCAGAGGTCAAACCAAAACAATTTCTATGAAGACAGTTCTATGAAAGTTGGTGTTTGTTTAATTAGGCACGGGCAAAGGACAGGAAATTCATTATCAAGGAAATACCAATGTTGAAATGCAGGTAAAGCATATAGAAAACCGGAAACTGAAAGCTGTTACCATTATTTTTTTTACCTTACTCAGACTTTAGTCTAGGAAACTCCCATTGACTTCACCACATCCAGGACTAGGGACAGGGTAACTAGCAGAATCAGCATCCTACCAGCACAGTTATGTTTTCAGATGGAGGCATGTGGCTGGGTCTCATAAGCACAGGCGTTCATCAAGCATCTTTCCTCCTAGGTTCCGAGCTGGCTTCAAGCAAGCTTTCCGCTGGTGCCCCTTCATTGAAGTGTCCAGCTATGAGGAGCTAGAGCTCAAGGCAGCCCGGTTTCATCCCACCCGGCAAAGTAGCCTATATGCTGTGTCCAGAATGGAGTCCAGCATGACAGTGGTGTTCGACACTAATGATGGAGACAGCATGCACGCCAGCCACAAGAAAAGAGCACCTCCGAGGGACTTGAATTTTAATGGTTATTCACAGAGGAATTCCAAGACCGTCTCCACAGCCTCAAGTCTCATCAGTTCACTGCACACTTCAGCAGATGCTTATTCCTAAACATTTCATGGTGACAGCTGCTAGATGGGCAGCACTGGACAATTGTCTCCTACTTTGGGACTAGATATTCACACCACGGGAAAGCAAAACAGATTCCACTGACAAATCCCAGCTATAAATGTTGTGAGACTTTTATGTATCACTTACTTTTTTGCTTTGGAGAGAAAGAGGAATTCGAAGACATGCATATGCCTCAGTCCAAAAGCACAATTGCACCTTATACACAACAATGTCTGTAGGGCTTATCCAAAATAAGCCAACAGCATAAAAAACATTGTTTCAGTTGCATCTGACCTGTGGCATTTATGTCTTACTTACTGAAGTGTAACTGGCCTCTTTACTTATTGAAGCTGAAATGTACGATGTTTTCTATTATGAGAGTATTAACTCTACAGTAACAAAATTACATGAGATTTGATAAAAAATGTCTTTATAATGAAGATCTAATGAGCCCCAAGTCTATTAAATTTACAGTTTAGCCCTATTTCCAGGCAAATAGACAAAATGCAAGTGAATGAAGTTCAGCTCTGTCTGCAACAGTATAATTTTTCAAATATATAAGAAAAACGTTTTCATTAAACATGCGAGCATGACCAATTAAATGACTAAGTTAAATTCTACCAAAGTTTCCATATTTTTGAGCATTATACTCCAATGAAATGTTAACTTCCAGTAGGATGTACTGCTTTGATAAATGTCCTCTGGCTTTGTATCTCAGTGTTAAGTGTAAGATCTGCCTTCAGCCACCTTAACAGAACCTTCCTGATTGACGTGAGAAAGGTCAAAAGGTTTTAAACTGGAGATTCATATATAAGAAAAATACCACTGTGGCAATGGACTCTTCTCTGCAGGAGATAAAGTAACATGTTTCAGTATGAGAAACTTTCACCAGGAAAAAAAATATTTGGGCTATTTTCACAAATTTTCCATAGGTTGATGTATGTAAAAATACTCCTCTGCCTGCATCTGAAAACATGCTAGGTATTATTACCTAGACACTTTCCCAGCGAATTCAGCCAAAATCCACTGACCATCAGTGGATTTTGCAAAGTGCAAAGAAAGCTGAATGTAGTAAAAAAGGGACCAGAGAACAGACTTTGTTTTAGTTAAATGACTGTGTCAGTTGCCTGGATCAGCTGGTTGCGTGATAGTTTGTTCTCAAATACTTAATCAAAACATAAGCAGATGCGTGTGAATGTCTTCCTGCGTTAGCCAAACCAGCACAGGGCAGTAAGATCTGGCTGAACCCAACACAGTACCAAAGCTGAGCAACTAACAAAGAGAAGTTTGAAGAGAGAAAAGCTGGAGCTGGCTTTAGTCCACATTCCTTCTCAGTGACTGGGGATGATCAGAACTGTGACAGTGAGCATATCATAAGAGACGAGTAACAAGAATCATGTTTGTATTGTGATTCATCTGTATAGTCAATTGCTATATTCTGCTAAGTGTAATTTGTATTTGTATTGTGATTTCAGTGCACTGTGGTATCACTTACTAAATCAAAATCCTGCAAAAGGTAAAATATCCTCAAATATGTAAACTTGGTACATTAAACCCTCCCTGCATGGAATAACTGAAGAACCTGGTCACAGAGTATTGTACTCTGATAAAAATGGATCACAATTCCAGACTCACACTTTTCCTATCCAAGGCCTGATCTTAAATCTGCTGAAGCAAAGAGCTTTGCTCACTGATGACTTTCCTTTTAAATGTCCGTCCACGCTTTTCAACAGTCTGTGTTCCCAAAAGAAACAGCTGGTTTTCATCAAGCCATTGTTGTACTCTCACTTTTCCTTTCTTTTTTTTTAAAAAGTGTGTAGTCATCCAGTGAGTGTCATGCAATGCCTATAAAATATTTTAAAATTTTTTTTCCCCTTAATTAATCTGTTTTAAGTACTTAAAAACCTTCACAAGGTGTTTAACAACTCTGTTGAGAAGATCCAGGATAGGCACACACACAGAAAAAAATGACCCTAAGCATATTAACCTGGTGGTGATGTATTATAAATGCATGCTGTGAAATCCTCTGTCTGCTCATGCACAACTTTTGAGGAACGTGCATAGAGAAAATGTATACTTGTTAAATAATCTGTCTTTTCTAACTGTGGTTATTACAAATTCAGTGTTGACAAACATCAATACACAATATAAGTTTGAACAATATAAGTTTGTAGTGAGATGAATTTATTGGTTTTAAATGTAGAATATAAGTTTGAAAAAGCTGTATATAACACTACAGCATCATAAATCATCTTCATATAACTTTTGTGATCCCTGGTTGACAAATATCAAGAAAGTAATGGTGACTTCCTCATACTTGTATCTTCAGTGACACAATTTCACTTTCCTAAGTGTTTTATGATATGACCTCTTGCACAAATAATCCACTTATAATCATCTCACTATATTTTGGTGGGTTAGGGGTGTCAAAAACACCCTCATCATTCCTGTAATTCTACTCTGAAGTTATAGGATATTCCTGGACAACAAATGAAGAAATCCGTGCTTGCAATCACAGCATTGCTTTAACGGAACATTACAGTGATACATGGTGTAAATCCATCTCTCTCAGCCCAGAAAAATGTGCAGGGTTACACAAGGGTTCAACAAGTAGCACAGCAAAAGCTGTGACTGACAGCAAATTCCATTTGAATTACTATTTCTGAACAAATGTTTTCAACAAGAGTCCTGGTCACTATAAAATTCCTTATAGGACTCCTGACACCCCTCACTGAGTGTAGAGCACATCAGGACATCCTCATTTTGTGCCAGTAAGACTGCTCAAAGTAGCAGCCTGCACACAGAGTACATGCTTCTGGGGGATTGCTGTGCAGCACTGTAGCAGCCTCATGTCTGTACTGCAACTTTTATTTCACATTCTTAACTTTTACTGAGAGGTGAGTTAAAGAGAACAGACAGATACAGAGATAGCTTCTTGCTAGGGGGGCATAATAATACTCCAAAACAGCTACAATTCAACAGCATCAGGAAAGGTCTTCTGATCTTGAAAATCTTCTGAAACATTAGTCCTTCTCAGGTACAAGATTTTCTAGTACTTTGACCCAGGCTCCAGTTGGCGTCTGTCTCTAAAATATTTATATATTGAAAAGATTTCATGGCTCCCTAAACTGCCACTTTGTAGGGAGGTTCCCTCAGTAGAGGACAGGTTTAACTTTCACATTGCCAGAGACAGAATATTCAGCATCAGTTTTCCCTGTCATTCCCTTGACATTGACTAAACTTGTAAAAAACAAAAAACAAAATGAAACAGAACAACAACAACAACAACAAACAGGAAAAAAACACAAACCAAGCAATCAAATCTAAAAAAAAAAACAAACAAAAAACCCAAACAAACAAACAAAAAAACTCTCACCAAACAACAAAAGAGTTAAACATGTCTATATTTAAACACAGACCTTCAAACTAATTTTTTGAAGTTTTACAATATCTTGTGACAAGTCTTTGTGGTGGTCCATTCTCCTCCCCACCCCCTCCTCAGGACACTCTACAACCTCAGGAATCCCTGGTGGGCATTGGCCTTTGTGTGACAAGTTAGGTGGTCAAGCATCCCTTGACACACCAAGAACATTTGCATGGTTAAGCTGGGAACATCACTGAGGTGAAAGACAAGAGCACAATCAGTCACTCCTTAATAACCTTGGGACTTTCCTCCCTGAACTGTAGCCCCAGGGGAACCATAGACTCCTAGAGTCAACTGGGTTGGAAAAGACTTCTGAGATCAAGTCCAACCCTTGATCCAACACTGCCTCGGTTACTAGACCGTGGTACTAAGTGTCACATCCAGTCCCATCTTAAAAAACCTCCAGGGACGGTGAATCTACCACCTCCCTGGGCAGCCCATTCCAATGTCTGATTAGTCTCTCTGTAAAAAATTTCCTCCTAATATACAACCTAAACATCCCCTGGCACAGCTCAAGTCTGTGCCCTCTTGTCCTACTGCTGGTTGCCTGGGAGAAGAGACCAACCCCCACCTGGCTACAACCTCCTGTCAGGGAGTTGTAGAGAGTGATGAGGTCTCCCCTGAGCCTCCTCTTCTCCAGGCTAAATGATCCCAGCTCCCTCAGTCTCTCCTCATAGGACTTGCGCTCAAGTCCCTTCACCAGCTCTGTTGCTCTTCTCTGGACCTGCTCCAGCACCTCAATATCCTTCCTGAACTGAGGGGCCCAGAACTGGACACAGTACTCCAGGTGTGGCCTCACCAGTGCTGAGTACAGGGGCAGAATCACTTCCCTGGATCTGTTGGCCACACTGTTCCTGATCCAGGCCAGGATGCTATTGGCCTTCTTGGCCACCTGGGCACACTGCTGGCTCATGTTCAGCTTCCTGTCGATCCAAACTCCCAGATCCCTTTCTGCCTGGCTGCTCTCCAGACACTCTGTCCCCAGCCTTTGTGGCTGGAGTTTTGGAAACGATTTGAAATTGTATCGGAAACAATTTACAATTGTTTTGAAAACTTGAGTAATGACTGACCTGAGGATGAAAACTTTTATAGATGACTAAAGTAAACCATCTTGCAACCCTATAAATAGGCAACCCAAGTGAGGCCGTTTGAGCTGGACTGCAGTGGGATGTGCCAGCATCTCTGTCAGAGTGGGACACCTCTTGGAGCTTGCACACTCTTACATTTGTGACAGCTAGAGGACAATTGCCTAAAGCTGATGACAGGGCCTAGGTTGATAAAGTCCTCCTGCTCCTTGGGGCTCAACCCTCATCCACTGAGAAAAGCCAAAGCACTCAATATGGGTATTTCACTGAACTCAAAGGGAATTTTTCACAGATATCTTCGTATACTTCTGTGTGTGTGCGTATGTGTGTGTGTGTGTGAATTGATTTAAATACTCTATAGCAAGTATAGCATAAATACTGTTGTCTTGGAGCTATAATTAAGGTACTATTGTAGCTGTAGTCAATTCTATTGAATCACTTTATAAATGTTGAATTAGTCAATTGAAGAAGTGCTACTTAAACCCTTTAAATATAAATGTTGATCGGATCTGAGGCTAAGTTTAGCAAGGTGGTCCTTTCTGAGCCTTGTAACTCACGGGAGAGTCTTCCTTATCCTTTTGCACCTTTATCACTTCCATCCTTGGTCTCCATGCAGATCATTTTAAAGTGATTTTAAGCCAATTTTCCTTTTTATGTTTCATCTACATAGTAAGTATTAAAGCAAACCTTGCCATTGAACTTTGTCACACTTGCACAAATTTATATTAAAACTTGCTTTTGTCAGTATCTTTGACAGTGATTCTTTAGGCTGCCCAAACCACTCATTCATGACAAATTGGTGTAGTCAGCAGAATACTAAATCAGGATTCGCAACGGTCTTCCATATAAAAGCATCATCTTAAGAGGAAAAAATAAATCTGAGCAAGCTCAGGGTACTCAGGCATGATGCATTCAGTAGATTGCAGCCTGTATCTCTTCAGCAGAAAACCCTTGACAGCCTTCCCTCCAGTCCACTTAAGGCTTATTGTCAAGGTCGGGAGGCACTGGCAGACCTGCACAGCATGAC